TCCACAAGCGAGAAGTGCGAGAGAAGAAACTATTAAACTATTTACATTATTCGGTGTATTGTTTTCATCTTTGTTGCAATATTTATTACAACGTTTCAGCCGTTCAGTATCTGTCTATATTTCTGAGATGAGGTATTATGTACATTATTTACATTATTCGGACTATGATCCTCATCTTTGTCACCAAATTTATTACAACGTTTCAGCCGTTCGGTATCTCTCTATATTTCTGAGATGAGGTCCTATGTACACTATTTACAGTATTCGGACTATTTTCCTCATCTTCGTCGACGATAAATATGGCGACAAAGGCCATATTTATTACAACGTTTCGGCTCTTCAGTATCTGTCTATATTTCTGAGATGAGGTATTATGTACACTATTTACATTATTTGGACTATTGTCCTCGTCTTTGTTGCCATATTTATTACAAAGTTTCAGCCCTTCAGTATCTGTCTATATTTCTGAGATGAGGTATTATGTACGCTATTTACATTATTCGGACTATTGTCTTCATCTTTGTTGCCATATTTATCACAATGTTTCGGCCGTTGTACGCTCCAATCTTCTTCAGGTGGTTGAAATGTCGAACTGAACCCTTTATTTCGCTCGCTGGGGTAGAGTGTTCTAGTTACATGTGCCATGTTTAATGGAGGTCAGTTATCAGTTATCTGCTGTTAATTTCCTTCTCTATGTTTTCCACCGCCTTAATATATATATATATATATATATATATATATATATATATATATATAGTGGATACTCATATTTGAGTAGACACTCCGTTTACTTAGTAATTAGTATTTTTATTTATTTAGAAATATTATACGCCCTCCTGTAGGATTCGAACCAGCGTATCCTGGAAAAGGGAAAACGTCGTCAGATACGACATGACATAACCGACTCGGCCATGAAAAAATAAACCCCAGACAGCTTCACTCTTGGGATCATTGGGACACATATGCACACAATGTATACAATAATGTTTATTTTAGCGTTCCCTGACTGACCAGATTAAAAATTCATTTGGTAAAATTTTATTTTTTACTTCTCGTAGCCATAAAACCTGTAATGAAATCGCGTGTCTGCAGTTTAATATTTATAAGTTTAATTAGGGTACTGGTCACAAAATTCTCAAAGACCAGCCTCAGACTAAGCATATATACAATATCACCCATCAGCACAAAAATATTAATAGCACAATGCAGCAGGCGAACTAATATGGAAAACATATTACGGTTTCTGTACAAAAAAGCCCTTTGACTGCAGCATGTGATAAGGATCCATATTTCATCTTCTCCATATTCAATGCTTTTCCAGCACACACTTCAAGCTGAGGAGGTATACCAGAGGAAAGTAGGTACCTAGTTGAATAGCTTTTCCATTTTATCCCATTATCTCCATTCTTAATCCTTTAATACTCTCACAGACGGAATGTGGCGAACATCTAACTGCCCTATCGCTACTACCATGGAAAGTGCTCGGAAGAACTGTGTCTCGTGGTTCCACCAGCCCTGGCTTTTACGGCTAGGGCTCGCCATTCCATCTAAATAGTAGCAAACCACATACATTCCCTCCATATTCACTCAGCAAGAAGTTCCACTCAAACAGCTTCTTCCCGTAAACCACTTCGCTATAGAACAGACTCCCAAGAGGATGCTTCCCCGATCAGTATAATGTTAATCTGTTCAAGTCTAGAGTCAACCGTTATTTTCTCCTATCTACGCTCTATGATAAGGGCCTACCACGAGCAACCCCAGCCCCTGTACAGGGTGAACATTACTGTAAAAAAACAAACAAACAAAAAAACAGTATGCTGTATTAAACACATAATTTATTATGTGTACTTACTTGGTTAAGTTTCCTTCTTTGATCACATTATGTTAAGAAATACGAGCGACATGTCCTTTAAGCACGCTATCCATAACCATCTTAGAATATTGCTGCCATATATGGTCCGGTGCCCCTGCTGTTTACCTGGATTTCTTTGATAAGATCCAAGAATAATCAGCAATATTATTATTCCTGATCTGGCGACTCGGCTGCAGTCACTTGCCTACCGCCTTAAGGTTGCCTCTCAGTGCCTTTTTTATAAATCCTTTCTTCACAGTAATTGTTCGGATGAGCTCTTCGCTATGGTATCTAGACTGTATGAATTTGAGCGCGATATTAAACTGGCGGCCAGATCTCGACAATTTAGAGTTGGGCAAGCTAGATGTAGCCGTAACTTCTATGTTAACAGTTTCTTCTCTCGCACCTCTCGTCTGTGAAACCTCTTTCCGGCTCTATGCTTTCCAGCCAACTTTAATCTGCAAAAGTTTAAATGCAATTTCAATCGCTATTTAATCTGTCCTGATTGCTCTTTTCTCTTTCTACTCATTACCAATGTTTCTGTTCCTAATTCCTCCACACTTTGTAACTCATTGCTTGTTTGTGGTTGTACTGCCTTGCTTGGGGTGATAAAGATTTAAAAAAAACCAAAATAATTTTAAAAACAAAACAACAACAACAAAAGAACAAAACAAAACATTTACACTCTTAATCATTGAATATATATATATATATATATATATATATATATATATATATATATATATTTGTTGTTACCTGTCGCTATGTCATGTGTTGTAAACGTGAGTGTACTGATCTTCAAATTAATATGCATACGCCTATCCAATGAAGATTTTAAAGTTTTTTGTTTGGCCTTTTGAGTTTTCTGAGTGCTCGACGCTCAAAAGGTAATGACATATTCTTCAAATGTTCCTACTTGGCATCACGACTTCAATCACTTTCTCACAGACGTGACGTGACTTCTTTCTGTCTTTTCCATAAAATTTTTCATGGCAAATGTTCTAATCAGCTATTTTCCCTAGTGCCTCAGCGACATGAATTTAATCCCGTTACTAGATTGGCAATTAGATCTCACCACTTAACTGTTGAATTAGATGCAACCATCAATTCTATTCTAACAGTTCGTTTTATTGCCTTTCTCATCTATGGACACCCTCCCGATTTTTTCGTTCCCTGATACAATCTTCAAAGATTTAAATTCATCATCAATCGCCATCTTATGTCTTCCTGAACCATGTTCTTTTATTGTCCTTTCTCCTCTTCTCCTAACTAAGAGTTCTCATTCTCTTTCTCGTTCACTTCCTGTAGACACCGCGTCTTAGTGGCATTATAGCCTTGCTTGAGGTGAAATGTATGTATTTGAAAATGCTTAATAGTCGTTTTATATATGTATTACTTACTCCAAATAACATCAGCATGGAGTATTAGGTACGCTATTCGCTACGTGAGCTTACGTTTTTCCTTTGGTTGTATTAATGAATCTGTAAGCTTCATCCGTTAATCACCGTTAATTAACTTTCTGGCAAAGAACTGTTACTAAATATATTCCAGCTAACATTTCTGAGAAGCTTAACATAAATACTTATTATGAAATGGACAAAGTCGGACAATTATTTTAAGACACCTTTTTAATGTTTATACGTTCTTTTTTTTATAAATACAAATATTTAAGTAAATGATCCGTTTATAATAAACAGTATTAACGACATTTACCGGCCTGAATGTCCAAGAAATTTTCATAGAAATTCAGGCCGGTAAATGTCTTTGCTCTCGCTCCAAATCCTCTGTAACCCCTTTGCGTGCTAGTGGCTTCCCGCCTTGCTTGGGGTGAAATGCTTAAAAAAACAAAAAACAAAAAAAAGTTTAATGCTTTTCACTTCCCAAGTGAAAAAATTAGTTTTCAGATGAACACAGAAATTTTGTCTAATCAAAAACAAAACCTGAAGATGTCATTGTGCTAATTTTGTCCTTATATTGTCAACTAGCAGTAGAGTCCGGCGTTTCCCGGAGATGTAACAGTAAGAGATAGATCAAGTATCGACCATCATAAAGACTGAAAAATAAAATTGACAAAGATTATTGTTTAAGGTTGGCGGACACGCATGTCTTAATTTTTTTTTTTTTTTTTTTTACGAATTGGTCAAACCCAAACTAAAACAAAAACATTGTTTTCAATCGTTATGAGTCTACCGATTGAATAGAATTTTATTATAAACAATTGTCTTGTAAATGGAATTTAAAGCATTCTGAATGTAAAAAATAAAGAAAAAAAGTGCAAGGCAATAAGAAACACTACCTGCCAAAAAAAAGTGAAGTTTTGTTGAAATTGGTTGAAAAATTTAGGAAATCCGATCTCATATATAAACGAACACACACACACACACACACACACACACACACACACACACACACAAAACCTGGTTTTATAATAAGTATAACTCGATAACTCGATATTACTAAGTATAACTCGATATGAGTTGTCCCCTTTCATTAATGCCTCTTAATCGTGTTTTCAAATTGATTTCGTGCAAAAACAATTGTTTTTTCAATTTTGGGCGCTGTCAGAACCACCGCAAGGTAATTTTACGTAGTGCTGTGAAGTTTTGTTGAAATCGGTTGAAAAATGTAGGAAATCCGATCCAATATATAAACGTAGAGGCACACACACACACACACACGCACAACCTGGATTTTATAATAAGTGTGATTTCTCGTACAGCTAGATTTTTGCAGAATAACATTCACGATTCGACAAACAACAATCTACCCGTATTTATAATACCTAGCCGAAGGTGTTGGTGAAAGTTTCTAGAAGTCTAGAATTTTAACATTTCCTCTGGCAAAGGAGAAAGACAAGTGTAATATCCTATCTATATTGCCAGCGGGGAGGGAATGTTACAGTGGAATGTAAGAAAAAAATAATCAGGAAAAAGAAAAAAAAAAAGGAAAAAGAGAAAAAAATAAAGGTATCTGGGGATAAATTTTCTCTTATCTTGTCTCCTTACTTTATGTAGACTGGTGCTTTGGCAATGGCCAAGTCGTTATTTATGATCTGCACAGTGGGTGAGGCTCAGGATTTCCAATAGCTTTTAAAGGAAACTAATTATATTTAATCATTTGGACGGCGAGTGCAACACAATCTTATCAGTACGTAATAGTCAGAATGAGTATTCAGTAACAAAACCTGCAGAAAGATCTATCTATCTATCTATCTATCTATCTATCTATCTATCTGTTTATCTATCTATCTATCTGAGTCTATTCATTACCTATTTTAGTCGATTCATTATTTATCTCAATCTATTCGTTATCTATCTATCTATCTATCTATCTAAATTTATTCATTATTTATTTCACACAATTCATTATCTATCTATCTATCTATCTATCTATCTATCTATCTATCTATCTATCTATCTATCTATCTATTACATTGGGTTCATATACAATCTATCTATCTATCTATCTATCTATCTATCTATCTATCTATCTATCTTCTAAGTTTAATAAACTCATAATGTTATAAACTGTATTAACTCCATTAAAGAACAAAGTAAATAATTCTCAGATTTCAATCTGTTGCCCTTAAAAGTGAAAACTAGAAATGTCCTTCAATTCTCCGGATATCCAATCTTTCCAGGACTCGTCCCGGTCCTCCATAGCTAGAGTGCTTCTCATTTGCCACACATCTGTTACATCCATAAGATTTTTGTCCAGCTTGACGTTGATGCTTTAAAATATTGACTTTTATAAAAGTGTTAACTAACGGTGTAAAGCTTACCCTCACCACTAAATTCCCGTAACACCCCGTCACAAAAATGAGATCCGATAACGCACGCCTTCACCATTACGAATGTAGTTATTTTAATCCACGACAGAGATGAATGCTTGTAGAGAGGATATGCAGCAGAATCAGCCAGCTGTCTAGTAACAGCCACAGAAAGCCTCACATCTTTTATACTGTCACCTAAATGCATGTGATTATCGAGCCTAAGTGTTTCTTTACAGCCGATCATGTAAATAGTAATTTTAATTTAAATGCGTAGACACTTATACTTTTCTTTTTATGGAAGGCGTACCTTTTCTATCGCCAAACTTGTACTAATTTATTACTGATTTGTGGAGAAATAATCTATAAAATTCAGCCTATTTTCGTTCTGTATAGTTTTGTCGAAAACATAGCGTATAATATAGATATGTGACTCCATGTATTTTTGAATGGCGTCTATGGAACATATGTATTAATAATTATGGGTAAATGTGACTAATAATGATAAAGAAATGCTGATGTAATTATTTTTGAACAGATGTAAAGAATTGAGAGAACGTTTTCCTTTTGGACTGAACAATTTTTTTCTGTTTCATCTACAAGCTGCAAGAGTTTGTTGAGATTGGGGGAAACACCTAACCAATTGCTCTCTCAGCAATTAATAGGGGGAGAGGCGAAAGAGACGAAAGGTAACAAAAATAGCACTGCCTCCGAAACCACAGCAACTTTAAGAACAAAATACCCACGGGACAGACTTCATTAGACACCAACTACTTACTGCTGGTTTCCCCGTTGCTTTTATCAGTATGAAGCATCTTACAAAGACTCGGATAGCGATCAGTTGCAGAGAGCCCAGTATCTAGACATGCAAAGCTGTCCCGCTGCTAACGGGGAAATCCCGATTGTAGCTGGTGTTGATAAACATGTCCGCATGCAATCCGGGCCTCTTTTGCGCCTGTATCGACGCGTGTTCGCCACACTAAGGAAAACCCAGATGAATACAAGGCCGCAATAATAAAGCAGTTGGTAGGGACTGAAACAAGAAACAAAGCTACACGGAATAATTTTGATTACAATTACACGGAATTAATCGTATCATTTAATATACCAGTTTATGTAGGAATAGATAGGTTCGCCTCTCGCTCACTTTACAATCAAACTCCTTTTTCTGAAAAGGAGTAGTGGCTTATCGTTTGTTTCCTGTTTAGGATTGGCTTTTCGAAGCCTTCTAAAGTCAACTCCAACTCTATATCTTTTATTCTGAGTTCTCCAATTAAACTCTGAAATTTTATTTATTTTTATACATTTATTTATTTTTCTTAATAGGAGTAGATAGGTATATTCCTCCTTGGTATTTTGAACAAGAATAGAGATTTATCCCTTATTTCCTGATGAGGATTGAGTTACAGGTTCCTTTTAAAGTCTTCTCATTCTCTTGTGTCTTAGTGGCATTATCGCCTTTCTTGGGATGAATTGATTAAAAACAATGTATCTGACTCACTCTCTCTGTACCTTCTCACGATACTCTTCATACAGTTGAAAAGTTTAATCTTCGTATCCACAACCCCCCCCCCCCAAAAAAAAAACCAAAAACATTCAGTGTGTCAAACGGATGGTTATTCCTTTGACACCGCTATTATTATATAAAAATTTGACCCCTTTTTATGGTTATTTATAAAATGGTAAAGAATAAATCTTGCATTGTAGTTGGCTTATATATTTTGACAATTTTGTAATTTTTTTATGAATTTTTGAATAAAAGATTTTTTCAAATTTATTTCTTTATAAAATGATAAATAATAAATCTTTATAAAAGGCAAATAATAAACATCGTATTGTACTTGGTTTACATATTTTTATAAACTTGTAAATAAATTTACCGAGAGAGTCAAAAGTGCATACAGTAACAGCGGTGTCAATGAAATAACTCCTTTTGACAAACCGTTTTTTTTTCGGGTAGGAAGTTTTAAAATTACCGGCATTTCTATACGAATTCTTTTTTTCACACGCTTTCGCGAACAGTCACACATACAGCAGAACCACGATTTAAAGAACTAATTGGTGGGGCGAGTGCATTCCTTAAATCTCTCTCTCTCTCTCTCTCTCTCTGTCACACACACACAAACTGTGGCCAAGTAAGGTTTGAAACTTCTGGAGAAAATTGTCTTTAAAATAGGTGACTAGGCAAAATGTTTATTTTCCAGCTAACATTATTGCTAACAAGGTTGACATGTACTGAATAACTGCATATGAACTCAATAGATGATAATTTTTCTAGCATTTATCTAATCCATTCAATAAAAAAAAAAAAAGTCAAATTGTTATGAACATGTGGTCCATGGATGACCTCTTAAATCTAACATTATTTAAAACGAGTAACATTGAAACGAGGTTTTATTGTATATACAAACACAAATACACACGATTTCAACAAGGGCTTCGATTGAAAAGCTCAAAGAATGTAAAACACGGCGAGGAAAAGAGTGAAGAGAAACAAGGTTACTCGGAGATTCGTTTATTTTTGCACATAATCTCCTTCATTGTCAAGAAATTTAAAATTCAGCTTATATCTGTGTCAGTCGTATTGATCTATACACTTCACACCATATCACGTCACGAATCCCGTAATTGATTTGGATTAGAGAAGCCCTACGTTTACTGTAGCCATAGCAACAACTGTGTTTATAGGGTAAGACCACAAGACGGAAACTATTTCTCTTCGGAATTCTTTTGAAACCAGAGGTTTTCTTTCTCTTGAACACACACACACACACACACGCCACAAAACAAATATACATATAAAGGGTGTTTCATTAAGACGAATCAAAGTCAGCGGTAAATAAATCAGTGTTATTGGTGAAAATTTAATTATTTCTCTATTGGATCATGTTATTTAAGTCATGGCAATTATCTGAGAAAAATAATATCGCCCAAATGTCAGCTAAATCTGAAATAAAAAGAAAAAACTAATTAGACGATTAAAATTAATTCACATTTAAAATTGGTTCAAGTTATTGGAACACCCTTTACACACGCACACACGCACACACACATATATATATATATATATATATATGTATATATATATTCTGAAATGGTCAAAGTCCGACAATTATTTTAAGACATATTTATGATTATACGTTCTTATAGATACAAATAAATAGATACAAGTAAATGCTCTATGTATAATAAACAGTATTAACAACATTTACCGGCCTGAATGTCCGAGAAATTTTCATAGAAATATGCGTTCTCCGGCAGGAATCGAACCTGTATCCTATACTGAGCCTGACATGCTTTACCGATTAAGCCACAGAGGAGCGTTTCGGTTAGCAAGGTCGATTTTACTGTTTTTAAACTACAATATATATATATATATATATATATGTATATATGTGTGTGTGTGTGTGTGTGTGTGTGTCTGTCTGTCTCTGTGTGTGTGTGTGTGTGTGTGTGTGTGTTTTGTGTGTGTGACTATTGCGTTCAGCATGAAACAGATTTTGGTTTCTTGGTGTTGATTACAATGTCCACTTTTATATTTACATACACTATATCCCTGATATTGAGAACTTTAACACATAAATATAGAATACCTTAAAACTATATTTTATCATATATATATATATATATATATATATATATATATATATATATTTCTGAGATGAGGTATTATGTACAGTATTTACATTAGTCGGACTATTGTCCTCATCTTTGTCGCCATATTTGTCACAACGTTTCGGCCGTTGTACGCCCGGCGTTCTTCAGGTGGTTGGAATTTCGAACTGAACCCTTTATTTCGATCACTGGGGTAGACTGTTCTAGTTCCACGTGCCATGTTTGATGGATGTCAGTTATCAGTTATCTCCTGCGAATTTTCCCTCTGAAAGTTCTCCACTGCCTTAACCAGGTATTGAACTCACCTTCTTTGGGTCTGTCACTGGATCTAACCAACGCCTTTATCCACTGTGCCGTGAGTCCTTGAAGAAACGTTGTGACAAATATGGCGACAATAGTCCGACTAATGTAAATACTATATATATATATATATATATATATATATATATATATATATATATATATATATATATATATATATATATATATATATATATATATATATATATATATATATATATATATATATATATATTGAACTCAATTTTTTTGGTCTGTCACTGTATATATATATATATATATATATATATATATATATATATATATAACTCCACGAAAACACTAAAACTCATCATACCGTGATGAAAACATTGTCCAAACGTAATGAAAACAGTTTTATCGTAAAAATCTTTATATTATTAAGAGTAATGATTAAAGTATTTTTTTTAAATTGTTTTATTAGATTTTTTACTCCTTTGTCGAACATTCAAAATTTTGATTAAAAAATCTTCTTTTTCTTGCTTCATCAGTTTTAGTACCTTTTAGCATAGCAATATTTGCATCTTTTTGTGGTGACAGACACATTAGTTTAGAAATTCTTGCAAAAATCAAGTAATAGTCAAATTTTGATGATATTTTCACGACTTATTAACAAACGAATGAAATTAATTTTCAAATCTTTTTATTAGAATATCTTGCAAAAAATATTATTTTTTTCACATGTGTTTCAGCTCCTTATTTATTTTTATGAAAAGTTGGGAAAATTCAACGAGATAATTTTTAATGACTATATTAGTTAAACGCAGAATTCTTTGAAGAATCTAAATCATCGAATTAT